TAACTCAATAAATTTTTTTAAATCGACTCAGTCCTATTACTTTCCGGACAAACCCTGTATAGTCAATGGGCATCGATTTTCCAGGCAGAGCTATATTCTATAGAACTGGGTGCCAGAGATCGCAGAACGACAATTGAGGCACAGAACTATTATTATTTTTTCAGATAGTCAAGCCGCACTTAAAGCACTTGACTCCACCTACTCGACATCGAAATTAGTGTGGAATTGCAAAGAAGCTCTCGGTGGCATAGGGAAGGAAATGAAGTCCGTCTCATATGGATATCAGGAGACACAGGTCTAGAGGGAGACTGTTAACTCTCTGGCAAAGAGGGGGGTTAGCACCCCGTACATAGCGATTGGGATCGCATACAATACGGTTAAACAAATAATCTCTGTAGAGATGAACAGAAAGATCCATCAATACTGGAAGGGGTTAGCAAGGTTTACCCATGCTAAGGCAACTATACCAATCTTGACAACAAAGGCAACAGGCCCTTTGCTATGGCTGAACAGGAGTAGCCTCAAAGCTCTAGTAGGACTGTACATTGGTTATTGCAAATTGCGTCCTGGGCATGGCGGAAGACGCTGAGTGCATACTGTGCATGGAGGGAGATGAAACGGTGAGGCATGTATTGTGCAGATGCACTACAATTGCCAGAATCAGGTACAACATACTTGGAGACGTAGCAGAAGCTGAAGACCTAAAGGATATTTCTCCAAACAATTTGATCGACTTCGTCAGGAGGTCGGAGCTACTGGGGGAAATATAAATAGGTGTGAGCCACAATAGACCAAAGACTCGCAGTGAAGGATCGTTATTGAGGCACCCACAAGAAACCCAGCCTAACCTAGCCTAACCTAGCCAATGGTACCGTCCTCTACTGGATGGTCGCACGACTAGGTCAACTCTAGCCCTACCTTCCATTTTATTTTATTGCATCAGCATTGCATTTAGAAATAAAACTTTCGTAAATAGAAGCACGAATAGTCATTTTCTCTGTAGACCCTCTGTATGTGAAGTACTCTACAATAATTATCAAATAAGTATCTTGTTATTCCAATCGATGACAGTTGATCCCAATACTTCTTTTTCGATTCACTCAAAAGTGCCGAAATGTAGACCATTCAAATGTTTATACATATTTTGAATCTACCTCCATTTGAGCTCAAGACCTTTTCTTCAGCAATTTGAGAAATAGATTTTTGTAACTAAGCCAGGTGATTCATAAAGAATTTTTTGATTCAATATGGGTATTAGAGGCTCCTACACAAATCGTAAATTTTTTCGATAGGTTGAGAGATATTTCAGAAGAAATTAGATTTGATTCGATCCATTACTTCAAGAACGTCTTGTAATTGGCCCATTTTGAACCCAGAGTCAAGTATTTTACCCCGAATAGTAAAATTGGGCCTTGATGATCCAAATACGATCCCCTATACATATAATAAAATTATGTCTGTCAACAAGGGTAAGTTATTCGTGGGGTATGATGTTTGTGGCGTGTATGATGAGATTTCTATCAAGCGATGTTTCAATTGCAGTGGTTTCTCCCATGTTTCTGGTCAATGTAAGAGCCAAACTCACTGTCCTCGGTGTGGCGATAGCCACTTACTGAAAAACTGCAAGGCCACGAACTTAAAATGTATTAACTGTGTTAGAAATCATCTAGATACAAATACCAACTATGACATGTCACATGCGGCTTGGGATTCTAGGTGCCCATGTTACTTACAAAAAGTTGAGGAGTTTAAAGCTAGGTTATTTTTTTCTTAGTTCGGATTTTCCCGATGAAATCCCTTATGAACAGTTAAATACTCAAAATTTTGTAAGAGTTTCTACTTCTACCTTTTCTGATCGTCGCATCTCTGTTTACTACCAGAACGTACGCGGTATGAACTCTAAGTGTAAAGAATTCTTTGTAAATGTCGCTATGTCTGACTATGATATCATCTATTGTACTGAAACTTGGCTGCAGCCTGCAGTACTTAGTTCTGAATTATTTACTGACAAATATGTTGTATTTAGAGCGGACAGAAATTTCACTGCGATGGGGTGTTCTATAGGAGGTGGTGTCTTAATTGGTATTCGTAATCAACTTGCTGCATCAGAGGTAAATATGACTTTTATCAGAGACGATATTCCCAGTATTGACATAATTGGAATCAAACTTAGATATAAAAATGAAGTGACTTATTTCTTTGTGATATACATACCGCCTGACACGAGTACTTCCTGCTATGAAAGATTCTTTGAACATCTAGAATCGCTTGATTACCTCTTTGGCAAAAGTATTTATATACTAGGTGACTTTAATGTTCCCGAATTTGTTAATGAAAATCACCTCCAATCTTCTTACAAGCAGAAAACAATTCAGTCATTTATGGGTTTCTTCGATCTTTCTCAATTCAATGATGTTCGGAATGAAAATAATAGGCTATTAGATTATTTAGTGTTATCAAATAAACAATGTAGCGTCGTTAAGGCTTATGATGACCTACTACCTGAGGATGTTCACCATCCTCCGCTTGTCATGATAATCAACATGAGCTTCCACTCTAAAAAGAGTATCAAATGCGCCAGAGAATCATATAATTTCAGAAAAGCCAATTTTGTAGCACTATATGAACAAATAAGCTTGGTTAATTGGACGGTTCTTGACAATTTAACAGATGTAAACGTAGCTTTGGAAACATTTTATAACATTCTTCGTAAAATTTTTAATATGTGTGTCCCTAGGACAAGTCTCAGATCTCTCAAATTTCCAGTTTGGTTTAACGGTGAAATGATTAGAGACATTAAAAGAAAAAAATTGCTACACAAAAAGTTTAAAAAGGATAAAAGTTTGATCACATACACTGAGTTCAAAGACTTAAGGACCAAAATTAAGCGCGATGAGCGTAACGCATATCAAAAATATCTAGTAGATATCCAAAGTAGACTATCTCAGGATCCGAACAATTTCTGGTCATTTATCTGTAATAAAAGGGGACAAAATTCCACAATCAGCCAAGTAAACTATAATGGTAAGCAGTATGACAAACCCAATGAAATTGCTAATGCTTTTGCACTATTTTTTCAATCTGTATATACTATGCCTTCGAACGCAACTGATATCAATATTTCGGACTTGCATAGTAACATAATACTTCAGAGCTTTTCCGAAGAAGAAGTTTTTACAGTGTTAAAGCAAATGAAAAATAAATTTACCTCCGGACCCGATGGAATTCCATCGTTTTTAGTGCGTGACTGTGCCTACGTCTTAGCTCATCCCTTGACAAAGATCTTCAACCTATGTTTAAAGACTGACACGTTTCCTGAAATTTGGGGCGAATCAAAGGTGCGTCCCATTTTCAAGAAGGGTGATACACTACAGGTTGAAAATTATAGACCGATAACCCTAGTATGTATCTTTTCCAAGGCCTTAGAAACTTTGCTTCATAATTTCCTATACCACAATACACATGCCCAAATAAGTACTTCTCAGCATGGCTTTATGAAGGGTAGATCAACCATAACTAACCTAGCCTGTTTTACTCAGTCAGTCTCCTCTGCATTAGATGCTAATAGCCAGGTGGATGTAATTTATACAGATTTTAGTAAAGCATTTGACAAACTTGATCACAGTATTCTGTTAACGAAGCTGAGCTATTTTGGATTCTCCCCCAAGCTGTTATCCTTTCTTAAGTCATATCTATCAGGAAGAAAGCAATATATTGAATATGAGGGTGCCAAATCCATTGAATTCTTTCCAACCTCAGGGGTACCTCAAGGCTCCTGCTTAGGTCCTTTGCTTTTCATACTGTTCATAAACGATATTGTTAGCGACATCGACAGCAGCCACTTAATCTATGCTGATGATCTGAAAATTTTTTCCAATGTCGACTGCAGCACTGACTGTGCTCACTTACAAAAAGACCTAGCCAAAATAGTTAAATGGTGTGCTGTAAATCGACTTCCAATTAACTACAGTAAATGTAGTGTTATGTCTTACACCAGAAAGCTAGATATTATTACATTTGACTACAGAATTGGCAATCATTCTCTGCTGAGAGTACAAGAATGCAAGGGCCTGGGTGTGATTTTTGACATGTCACTTAGCTTCAATCCTCATATTGAGTACCTTATTAATGCTGTCAACAGATTATTAGGATTTGTAATACGTAACTCAAAGGAATTAAGTAACAAAGATGCCATGATTATGCTTTATAATTCATTCATACTGTCTAAATTAGAATATGGACGGCTAATATGGAATCCATGCTATGTTACAACTTGTGGCTCTCTGGAGAAGATTCAGCGGAAATTTCTGAAATTTCTTTCATTCAAAATTGACGGTACGTACCCACCCATTGGGGTCCCACAGGAAGACCTGTTATGGAAGCACAAGTTTATCAGTCTTGATAACAGAAGAAAGATTCACTCGCTAATATTCCTGCATAAAGTAGTGCATAGCAGTTATGATTGTCCATCATTTCTAGCACAGATTAAATTTAATGCTCCAAAATTTGTTACTCGCAATACACTCACTTTTTACCTACCTACCCCACGAACTAACTTACTGTTGCACTCACCTTTGTACTCGATGTGTTCATGTTATAATAGTCTACAGAGTACATTTGATTTGTTCAACACAAGTATTTCGAACATTAAGAGAGTTTGCAGTGAAATGATTTAGTTTTTAGTTTTCGTTGTATTTTATATGTTTTTTTTACTATTTCTATTGTTGTTTTGCCACCAGTAATTGGTTAACACTGTTGGTGGTAGATTTCAATAAATAAATAAATAAATAAATAAATAAAAATTCCTCGACCTCTTGAAGTCCGTGGACCACGAACTCAGAAACGCTAATATAGGCAAACGATTCAACCACCGGACCACAATAATTGGTAACGAGGTGTTCAGTGCCAGGTATGCAGAGTTCGATGAAGTTTAAATCCCATGCTTGTGAAGAGTTTTCTCTTCCATCACCTCTAATTTTTGAAGCTGTATCTATGTTTACCTGGGGTCTTCATAAATAGTGATTTTTCTGCTTCCTTGATGCGGTAATGGTGGCGGAGGTGGCAACGGTGCGATTTGTGGAGCAATTGGTCCTGGTGCATCTTGCACTGGAAGGGGATGGTGCACCATAACTGGGGGATGCGGCAATGGATGAGGGGCTGGTAGTACTGGGTATATAGGGTATGGTTTCACTGCGTACTGTTCTTGGTCGTACCTGGAATGAGAAAAAATGTCACAATAGACCAGCGGGTCACAGTGCAGGCCCCTGGAGTAACCGGCGAAGGAAGAGAGGGCACGTGTAACGGAACGTATGATTATTGCTTCAGCAGCTAATGAAAGTCTTCATCGTTCGAGTACAAATAACAACTTTGAAACATTACTAGAGTCATAACTGTATACAAGTTGTTGAATAAAAAATGCATTTACAATCGATCTTATTTAACTGTTTGTTTTTGAAATTTGCACGAAGAGTGTTCGTAATCCTAGAAAATTATCAGTATGAATAGCCTTGCTTCCTTGATCTTTTTATAGTAATAGTATCCTAGGTGTCTATAAAATATCTGAAATAATATCGTAGAACTATTCCTAATTGAAGCAACGAAAAAGGCACTTCTTGTAACATATGGTATTGCATATGTGTGGTTGTTCTGGAGGATATGCTCTTTTTAGGAAACTACCGAGCATATATGGGATAAAAATCTATAGTATCAGAGATAAAAATAAAAGTGATAGCATTGTTAGCTACAAATCAGTAAACAGCTAAAACGTCCCATTAATTGACGTAATTCAACAAAATAACCTTTGTGTGCTTGATACAAAGTCCCACATCACAAGTTTAACGTTTGTATGAGGCTCGAATTATGAAAGGACGACTCCGAAATAAGTTTTCTAAAAACTTTCATTTTCGGAAACGTAGAAAAAGCGAGATAAATTCATCCGAGAAATAGCTAAGACTGGATACAATGCAGAATTAAGGTATATTCATAATCTCGGTAGAAAGTATAAACTAAGCGAAATGCAAACACACAAGTGTGAAGATCTGGTGTCTGTAACTCGAGTGTGATCGTGCTGAGCTATTTTGAGGGCTATCATTTCATTGCTAATACAAAACGTGAATCATAGACAACCAGTTATTATCACGGAAATATCAGAATACCATCAGGAGCCAAGATTATAAGTTGGTGGTCAACCCCGGTTAAAGGGTTAACTTGGTATATCAAAATGTGTTCGTAGGGTTCTATTAATGAAATATTTTCATAAAAGATGAATCTGCATAATGCACGAAGGTCTATTATAAGCGAGGTTTTCGGTTCTGAAAATAACTAAAATTTCAAGTTAATCACCTATATAATTTCTTTGCTCTTAAATAATACTTAATTGTTCCTTGAAAGCCGAAAGCTCATAATTTTGTCATGTGTGTCGCACATTTAAGACTATCTTACTTAGTGTTACTTACATTTACATAGAAACTGAATGAAATGTGAATATGGTTGGAGTTCTGTAGACATAACATTTTAAAAAATGGTTAATTTACATATGTTAGTTTCACTGTACACTACCGCGACTAGTTGAGACGATCTGCGATATGTACAGTGGAATCCACTTATAATGAACTTGCTTATAATGGAAACCCGTATATAATGGACATAATTCAAGGTCCTATGAATAATTGCATGTAAAATCCTCGGATATGATAGACTCGCTTAAAAGCTTATAGCGGACTATTTTAATCCATTATATGCGAGCTATTTTGGTAGTTCCCCGAAGCAGATTTAGCTGATGCAATCATTTATGTCTGTTTGGCTCCGTAGTTTGCATTCGAACTTGGCCACCAGTGTTATATTGTATTCATTAGAGTTATAAACATGTCGAAAAGTGCGAAACGTGCACTCACTTTAAACGAAAAGTTCACAATAATTAGTGGGCTTGGGCAGGGTTCTTCTCAAGTAAATATGTGTGCTCGTATGGCTATAAAAAATCCACTGTGTCAAATATTTGGAAAAACCGTGACAACATTAAAATTACTGGAAATCAAATAGTCAAAAGAAAAAGAGCGGCTATCGCTGCATCCCAAGACGATGAAATGCTGTTTAAATAGTTTCAACAAAGGCGTGCTAATAATTTTCTAATAAGTGTACCTATGCTACAAATAAAGGCTGAAGAATTTGGAAAATTGATTGGAGATAACTTCAATTGTAGTTCCGGTTGGCTAGACAGGTTTAAGAAAAGACGTAACATTCGTTTTGGAAAAATGTGTGGTGAGCGTCAGTTGACAAGAAGGTTACCAATGACTGGATTTCTCAAGTTTGGCCCGTAATATCCAGTGATTATTCAGATGATAACATATTCAGTGCAGATGAAACCGGGATATTTTTAGAATGCTACCAGATAAAAGGTGAAACTTGCAATGGAGAGAAACTATCAAAAGAGCGAATAACTGTTATGATTTGTGCTAATGCTTCTGGTACTGAAAAATGGAAACTATTGACAATAGGTAAGTGAATGAATAGAAATTCATGTTATAATTTTTTTGATATTCAATAGCAGTACTGCAAATAATTTATGACCTTTTTTTTATTTCAGAGAAATTGAAGAATCCCAGGTGTTTCAAAAATGTTTAAACAACTCCCGTCGATTATGTTTTAAATAATAAAGCTTGGATCACTTCATCAATTGTTGAAGAATATTTAAAAAAGTGGGACGCTGAACTTGTTAAAAAAATCGTAAAATTTTGCTCTTGGTCGATAACTGCCCCGCTCATCCAAATATTTCACTCAATAACATCAACCTTCAATTTTTTCCACCCAATGTGACATCAGTTCTGCAACCAATGGACCAGGGTGTCATTTGGAGTCTTAAACAAATGTATCGGAAACATATGTTGATGAAAATTATTAATTGAGAAGTTGTCATCATTACCAAAGCTACCACCATTTTAGATGCTATAAATTTGCTTACTATTGTATGGGAATTGGTTACTCCAGAAACGATTTGTAATTGTTTTCGCCATGCTGGTTTAGTGTAAAACATACCTGAAATAGTCATCGATTTTAATCCAGAAGATGAAATTCCATTAAGTGATTTACCGAAAATAAATAGTTTACTGAATATAGACAAATTTAATTGGTATGTAAATGTTGATAATAATTTAATAGCAACACAGGAATTGTCAGACTTCAACTTGGTTACTGAAGGATCCATTGATAACGAACAGGAAGACGAACTAGAAAACAACGATGAAGAAGAACTTCCAGTGACAACTAAGGAGTCATTAGACTGCGTGAAAATGTTGCAACGTTATTTTCAGCAAGAAGAAGAGAGTACAGCCACAATTACCAAATTAAGTAAAATTCCACTTGCTGTTCTCAATAGGTATACAAAAAAACAATCTGTTCAAATGAAAATAACTACCAAATAATTTACGGTTTTTACACATACCTACACAGTACGTATGCCTGTCATATGTGTAGCAGATTCTGAAAAAATGTAAATTTCAAAATTACGTATAACTTTTTTGTATGTACCTTTATTTATGTGATACATGTTAAACAAATATATTTTAAGCTTTTCATATGTTTTTCTGCTGTTTTTTTTTCATTAAAAAATGTGTTTCCATTAAGAGGGTCATCCGCCTATAACAGACTATTTGTCACAGTCCCGCCGAGTCCATTATACAGGGTGTCCGCAAAGTTGGGGTTGTCCTTTTCAGAAACAACTACCCTTGAAATAACAAAGATAATGTGTAGTGAAACGAGGGCGACCAAGTAAAAAAAAATAAAGGAAAAAGTACTCACTCTCCAGTTGACGAGAAGGGCTAAGTACGTCTCTGCCCGAAATCATACCGCTCCAACAGAAAATGAAGGCGTCGCCGCGTTTTCAGTTTTTAGGTAAATGTACTTTATAGCTGTTGTTCGAAGTTATTGCCGTTTGATTCAAAAACACAGGTGCGTGCACGACGTAGCCAAGCATCGGTGCAGGCTTTGAGAATGGAGTCCCTCCTCCGAATGAAAGCACCAGCTTGTTAAATTCTGAGACGAAGTTCGTCAACCGTATGCACTTCAGTTTTGTACACTAAGCGTTTCATTTCTCCCCAAAGAAAAAAATCACATGGTGTTAAGTCTGGAGATCGCGGAGGCCACGCTAGGGGTCCATTACGTCCGATCCAGCTATTGGGAAATAATTCATTCAAAAACTCACGCACTTCGCGTCTAAAATGGGGCGGTGCACCATCGTGCAGAAACCACATTGATTGTCTTACACTTAATGGCACATCTTCTAACAAGGAAGGCAAAATGTTGCGTAAAAAGTCTAGGTATTGCATCCCGTCGAATCGATTTGGGAGAATAAATGGTCCAATGAGCAAACCGTTCACCATGCCAGCCCAAACATTCAACAAAAATGTTTGTTGAAAATGTGTCCGACGGACAGCGTGCGGATTTTCTACTGACCAAACATGAGTGTTGCGAAAGTTATTCACCCCATTACGCGTGAACGTAGATGCGTCTGTCACCAATATGCACTTCAAAAAGTCCGGATTATTGTCATGTTGATGCAACAACCACTCACAAAACCGCACTCTTGCTGGAAAATCGTCAGGTTGAAGGGCTTGTACACGTTGGACGTGAAACGGATACAGCCCTCTTCACGCAGCGTTTGCCACACATTAGTTTTTGATACTTGCACTTCTCTAGCCACGTCTCTAGTGCTTGTTGAGGGATTCTCGTCTACGCGATTCAGTAGTTCTTCCTCAACTTGCACCATTCGTGATTGTCTAGGCTTCCCACTGTACCCACCTCGAAATTCGTCCAAATGTCCCGTATCCCTGACTCTCTGGACCAGGTACACAAATCTGCGGGGCCTTGAATGATGTCGTCTAGGGAAACGATCTGCATACACTCGCGAAGCCTCTGTAGCATTTTGAAGACATTCGCCATAAATACGGGTTCGTTTACCTCTATTTTTGATGTTGCAGAGCCCTTTATCTCGGTTCCTTTAAGACATTGGTGTATATGGTACTAAGAAAAATTGCTTATGTTTTCCAGATCTACACGTCGTGTAAAGGAAAACCCCAACTTTGCGGACACCCTGTATAGCGGGTTGCACTTGCACTGTATAATGTGGAGAAGCCACTGGTAGTAGTGCTTGATATTTTCCAGACATAGTGTTTTCGATACTTAAACTCTTTTCAGTTAAAATTGATTCAGTTTCCTCAATCCCCTCTCCGTTCCCATCGCAAATAGAGTCAAAACTCACAACTTTTTTATTTCGAGTGGAACATCCTGTACTGTACGTTCGACTGTACCACATTTTTGGAATCTGTGGGTTATTCGGAATCGATCGTTTCAACCACTTTCCTTCGTTTCTACTATTTATACCGTCATAGGTTAATATGCAATTTATTAGGCGAGGAGATCGAAATATATATCACCGTCTAAGGTAAACAATATACATTTCTAATTTACGGCTCGAAAAGGTACCTTTTATTGTTTACACACATCATTTTGACGGTTACCGATACTTGATCGAAAGATTTGCCGATCCAGATCAAGAACATGATAAAAACTTTCCTTAAAGCCCATACTTGTACATCTAGCTCTCCCTAGTTGTTGAAATCCGACATGCGACAGTAATGTTGCGTTTTAGATTATACAAATAGCGATCTCCAGTGAAGATTTCAATCTCTGTAGTCTGTAGGGAAGCCGTTACTAGAAGCTTGTCACATGTGTATGCCCTAAACAAGTTTGGGAGATACTCCTCGTCTTCCGAAACACCTTGTTACCTAGGTACTTTTCCATTGTTAGCTTTGAACCCCCTACCTGCCAGCTTCTCCATATGCCTTAGCAGCATTAGCGGCATTCGCATGCTCCTTATCATCATAGTATTGATTCCTTCCAAAGTTTCCTTGCTTTCCTTGTTCCTGGCTCCCATGTTGTCCTTTGTCGTAACTGCTCTGTTCTGCCGCATTGTTAGCATAGTTTTTGGAGTTCAGAGTCGATCCGCGTTGATTGGCTTGCAATACGTCACCGTATTGACCTTGAAACAGATAGAGAATAGGGGGTAAGATTATATTGAGGGTAGGTTGACACACCGAAATGGAAGACTGGGAAGGTAGAGCACATACCTATACAAAGTGATGGAATATAGAGATTGTATCAGAATACAGAGTGTCCGTTGTTTTAAATTGTTTTTCTCCTATTGAATCATAAAGTACACAGAATTGGGTTATGTACAGGTTTACGCAACATTTACAGAATGACATATTGGGCAAGAGCACCTTAATCTTTATTAGCATATGCGCATGCCTTTTGTCGAAATTTTCGTAACCTATTTTGTATGTGTGGCTTCCTTTCTTCAACCAGGGTCTGGGGGTCTCTGCCTAAATTGGATAAGATGTGGTCCCACATGCCATACAGTTCATGAAACAATTCAACTAAAGCATGATACATTTCCTGGTCGTGTTCACTCTCGTTCTGGTGATTCAACAACATAGGATTTTTTTTATAAAGCATCTCATATCTGGAAGGCCATAGGATGGAAGTTTGCATAAAGGGCAGCATGCCACAGCTAGTCGAACGTGTTTTTAATATGTTTGAAACCGTACCAGTTCTTTTGTTATTAGCGACGTTGGGATAATCTATTGTAATACTTTCAACTCGGCTCAAACTTGCTCAAATTTTTTGTACCATCAAAAAAGATGTATTGGGGTTTCGGTGCTTTCCTGTAGCAAATTCCCCATAAATCAATCCTATATTAAACTGATGAAGGTTATGATATAACACAAATAATGAAGGATACAAGTTGCTGAATGTTATTTTTTGGGATCGTTATTAATTCAGTGCTCCAGCTGTTTTTGTCCACAAAATTTTAATAACAAATAATGTAACAACCAATGCTAGCATCGTTTACACGCTAATCTGTTTCCTCGATTCCCAGATTTCGTGTCGTATCCCAAAATGGCTTGTCTTAAAGATAAATTACGATTTTGGAAATTAAGCTTTATCTCATGAACCAGCGACATTTTACTCAAGCCTTATTTGGATCTATATCGCTGGTTGCCCGAGTTTAGGATTACTTTTTGGTGAATTCATTACGGACGACTGACTCTTTACATTACTTGTCTATTTTGACCACTTTTATGTAATAATTAATAACCATTTCTTTGAGGTCAAAACAACAATATTAGATTTTTTCACTGTATTCCTAATTGTTTCCCAATTCCTTCTCCTCCATTTCAATGTGGCATCCATAAAAATGAAATTACCAAAATGTCTGGAATTTCCTGCAAAATTATTGGAAAGTGTTCGCATCCAATCCCATTGGTGGCTGGACGAATACTCATTGTTGTAGTAAGATTGTTTCCTCCAGTATGTATGTGATCTGTAATGTGCTGGAATACAGAGTGTTCTGGCACTACACAATAATTTTTTTTCAGTGATGATTGTTATGGATGAAATGAGAAAAAAAATGAAATAACTCGGAATTTGCACTGGTTCCTATCTGAGATACAGGGTGTTAAAGCTATAATTTGAAAAACAGGAAAAAAGTATGTCTCCGGAGAGGACTGAAATATCTACATCAAATGTTCACCATTGATATAAAAATTAGGTTACTTTGACAATACAGAAGAAAACAGAGAAATATCTGTTACAAAACCAACTTTTTGAAAAATCTATTACATTTTTGAATTAGGTGGGCATGTAGGTTGATATTACCTTTCTTGAGAAGCTGTCGCCAAACTCTTTCTTTTTGAGAAAAATTGATGGAAAAGATTATATAATTTCTTTCTATACTAATCCCATGAGAAAGCCTAACTATACTGTGCTAGATGTTATTGGTTATTGTTTATTTTATTCTTACAGACTCAGTATGTTGTTCGATGACTTACCGTGTTGCGCCTTCCTGACATATTGATCTCCTTCGTCTCCTCCATCATCGAAAAAGCTGCTGTTACTTCCAGTTTCGTCCTTGTGATACGTATTCCGGAAGCCACTGTTGTGGTGCCCCTTCTTATGGACACGCTTATTTTCTAAGTCTGTGATGAGGCCTCCACCGTTTTGTTGAACGGTATCCCTAAGATGCAATATTGAATACACAGCCCAGAAAAGTAAAACAAATGTTTGATGGCGAAAAAGTAACAACTGACTTTCAATATGTCTGATGCACTGATTCCAAAAATGTCAATTTTTCCGAACTAGTTATAGTTTTTGAGATATCAGCAATTTAATATTTGAAAAAATACAAAATATGCCATTCTCGACCCCGAAGAACAATATTGAAAATTTGTAAAGTTCCTACATACACAGATCCATAAAATGAAAAAGCTGGTGGTCCTACTATATTTTTGCCATGTATTTTTCCGAATCTGGAGTCAAAATTCAGAATTATAAATTTTACCATTTTTGTTGGATTTGCAAAATTCTACATATATATATATATATATATATATTTACGTCAAATACCATAATCTTAATGCCTAAATTACTTTCATATTTGTTGAATGACCCTCAATTTTGAATTCGGAAGCATATTCAGCGGAAAAAATGGGACATAAAACTTTTTTCTTTTGTGGGTCTGTCATATCATTCAAACATGCATTAACAAAATTCCAACAAATTTTAAGAGGTAATGTATGCTTTTGTCCGTGATGTTTACTAAATTGCGAATTAGCTTACATTTTGTAGTATGCGCCTTCACCCATATTGAACTCCATAGATAAAGGCGTACCAAATATCCGAAAACTTGGCAAACACATTTTTTGGAAAAAGGTTTTAAGAAAAGTTTTAGGATACCAAAAAATCAGTTTGTCGATAATCTCAGATATGACCTAGACAATGACCTCAGAGGTTTATTTAGAGGATAACTTTGTATATTCAAGTAGTAACCGCGATTCTTGCCAGCGAATTCGTGTTGAGCTCGAGATTTTACACCAGAATCCATTTTTACACATGAGGTTACACGGTTGTAAGGGGTTCAATCAGCATGACCTAAGATAACGTCTGAAAAGTACACGATCACCCCGAAAACCTGGCATTTCCGCATTTTATAAAAAAAGTTACTAAGAAATGTCTTAGGATATCTGAAAAGTAATTTGTCGATGACCTTAAATATGACCTCATACATTACTGTAGGTCATGCTGATTATATCGCTCAAAAACAAAACAAATAACCGAAAAACCTTATGTACCCTGGATAACTCAAAATATAAGAATTTTAATCAGACTAAGAGATAAAGCTCATAAAAAATTTCAAAAATCAAAATCACAGGCTCATTTTGAATATTATAAACAACTAAGGAACTATACAAAGCATGCAATTATCCGAGAAAAAAATACATTCTTCAACTTACTCTCAACAAAGAAAGGTAAGGAATTTTGGGACACTACCAAAAAGCTCAACATAACATGCAAGAAAACTCACTTAACTATACCCGATCACTTACAAAATGTAAATGACATACACAATTACTTCCAGCAGACCGACAATTTACCAGACACTGCTTCCCAAGAATTAATCAATTTTTACAAAAACAATGTAAACATTAACGATTCTCTTAGCTTCCAACTGTTAGACAGGGAAAGTCTAATCAAAATTGTAACTAATATCTCATCAAATGCCATTGGAGAGGATGGTTTCTCTATGAGAGACCTAAAGTTATGTATCCCATTTTGTACGAATGCCTTGCTGAATATAATCAACACATGTATTTTGGCTGGATTATTTCCAGAAATATGGAAGAAAGCTATTGTTAAACCCTTACCAAAAATAGCAGAACCTAAAGAATTTACAGACTTGAGGCCTATTAGCATATTACCCGCTGCATCCAACATTTTAGAAAGGCATATTTATAATCAAATTAGATTTTTTTGTGACACAAACGATATCATACCCGATAGTCAATCCGGTTTTAGGAAAAACTTTAGCACAAGTACATCATTAGTTAATATCTTGGATGATATCAGACATCATCAAGAACAAAAAAATAGTACGTGCATGGTTCTTCTCGATTTTAGTAAAGCGTTCGACACTCTGAATCATGAAATGTTACTAGCTAAGCTACATTACCAGGGGTTTTCGCAGAAGTCCGTAAATCTAATAAAAACATACTTAAGCAACCGTTCAAACTGTGTTATGTTAGCAAATGATTCTGCTATTTACAAAACCGATTTTAAACCTATAAAAAGAGCAGTTCCTCAAGGTTCAATTTTATCTCCTTTGCTATTTTCAATCTACATATCTGACATGGTCAAATCGGTAAAATTCGCAAAGATAAAACAATATGCAGATGACTCACAAATGTATCTCCCTGTCAATAAAACCACAATCCATATTGCACAATAACAACTAAATTCAGATCTCCAAAGAATTGACATATTTGCAAAGCATCACAATCTTAAACTAAACCCCTCAAAATCGCAAGTAATGGTTATGAATAAAAATAGTACTGAAAGAGAACATTTTGAACAAAATTTAGTAATTTATATTAACAATGACAGAATCCCCATAGTTCAGGAGACAAAAAATCTAGGCATTATATTTGATAGTTCGCTTGGCTTCGGCAGTCATATAAAAAACAGAACAAATTTAGCTTACATGCGACTATAAATTAAAAAAACATTTATCAGCCAAACAAAAATATTATTTGTGTAATACCTTAATTTTATCACTTTTTGACTATGGAGATGTCGTCTATGGTGATTCGCTATCGTCGCGAACCAAAAAATGCATACAAAAAGTTCAAAATAGTTGCATGAGATTTGCATTTGGAATTCCATATCGAAACCATATCACTCCTTATCTGAATAACTACAACATATTAAACATGACGAATCGCAGAAAATATCACATGTATTCTTTTATCTATAGGGTTATAAAAACAGGTCAACTGCCCTATTTAAGAGAAAGATTTGTGCCTTTGCCTAGTCCCCAGAGAAGCAGAAATAATCTCAATTTTATCGTACCTAGGCATACAACGCGTTCCTTCCGACGATCGTTTGCCTATGTGGCGGTTCACTTATGGAATAATTTACGAACTCCAGTTAAAAGCTCATCGTCAAAAACATTCTCAAAACTGACAAAAACGTTGTTACAGAATCACCAGCTACTTTAGCAGCGTTTGTGTGAGCAAGAATATCGTTTTTACATTCCTACTCGTTGACAGGTTGTATAGATTTGTTTTTCGCGTCCGTTGCCAGCTCCTGGGGGATCTTTCTTCGTTTTTGCCTTTTTGTGTTTCACCGCCTCTTCATTTGCCTCTTTATTGTTTTTTTTATTTTGTTTAAGGACTTTTAGGGTATTCAGGGCTTTCTCGCATGGACTCTTTGTATTAAAGGGTCCAATGTATCGGTTTTATAATCGAGAGACTATCCTTTTTCGTCATTACTCTATATGTAGAATTTCTTTTGTTTATGATGTTTATTCATGATGAAATAAATATTTTGAATTTGAATTTGAACTACTGGATCTCATGTATAAAAAGCATTCTGATCTAAAATCTCGAGGCCGACACGAATCTGTTTTCAAAAACGGTGGTTGCTATTTGAATGTACAAAGTTGACCTCCAAATGGTCTCTGAGATCGTTGTCTAGGTCATATCTGAAGTCATCAAAAAAATTGATCGTTTAATTTCCTGAAACTTTCCTTTGAGGCCTTTTTCCAAAAAATGCGCAGTTGCCAAGTTTTCTGGGTGTCCTTGTATCTGCTATTAAAAATGATGGTTGCTATTAGATATTGTGGATGCTATTTGCATGTACAAGTTTGACCTCCAAGTGTCCTCTGAGGTTATTGTCATATGTGAGATAATCAGCAAAATGCTTTTTTGAACCCCGAAACTGTTCCTGTCTTTTTCCAAAAAAGCGCGGTAGGTTCGAGTAGTTCGTGTACTTTTTAGAGGTTACAGTAGGTCATGCTGTTTAAACCACATGACCGCTTGACCCCATGTGTGGTACTTAATTCATATGTAGAATATGAATCTGTTCTCAAAAATTGCCATTTAAGTTTACAAAGTTGATGTCAAAGACCTCTGAGGTCATTGTCTAGATCAGGGCTGTCCAACATACGGCCCGGGGGCCGCATGCGGCCCGCGAACTCCTTTCTTGCGGCCCGCTTCACGGGTCATGTATACATCACTTGTATAAATTACTCTCAAATACCAAATATGCACAATTCTTACATTAACTCTGTAATAATGTTGTATAGAAAGATTTTATAATGCGGCCCTCCAAACGGAATTTTTTTTGTGAAGTGGCCCTTGGGCCACATTAAGTTGGACAGCCCTGGTCTAGATCATATTTGATGTTGCCGACAAATTGAATTGTTTGGTGCAAAAACCGGCCAACTCCACTTTCTTGAGAAAGTAATTTTTTAGTTGGATTTCGTTCTACTTGACATTCTGCGTCGTTTGGGTTAAGAAACGGGCAGCTCCTCGCTCCATAACGTGAAGTGTAACTATAATTGTAGTTATCCTTGTAATGGCTTGGGGCAAGAACCGGTCAGCTTCGGAGCTGTCCAATTCTTGCTCCATATCGTAGATGAAGCTGCGTTCAGCATTATTTAGTCTGAAGCAAAGGCCAAACTGTAACTGGAAAAATCCCTCCATCTTGCAAAATCAAAAGGTTTTTACACCTCGCTAAACGAAAAATTCACTCAAGCCAGAAATGAAGACTTGGTTGAGGTCTTGTACTTTGACTACCACCAGAACATGCCTTTACCACATACTCCGTCTAGAGCAGGATTTTATAAAAGGCAGTTGTGGGGTTATAATGTTTGTGGTCGTTTTGCGTAAAACAGGAGGGTGCCGATTTTATATGTAAGTCCAAACCACAGCTAAACAAAGGAAAAAGAGAAGCAACGAGGTTATCAGCTTTATGTATTAACATGTTTCTTCCGCACACTATATTTTTCAGATAATTGCTTTGCACAAAATAAAAACGGTGCTTGCATAGTTTTTGCATACGCCTATTAATACTACTTAAAGAGATGTAAGGGTTATCAGTTTCCCGAGAAAAAGAAAAAACGTAAAAAAGGAGTAGTCTATACGCCCAAGGGTTGGAAAGACTTCATAAAAAATAGTTCAAATGAATTCACAGTCGTACAAGTGAGCCAGGATATGATCCTCAACTTCATTAGTCGCTTTTGAGAAACAGTAAAAAAGAGAAGTTTGTCATAAGTACCGTATTGTCAAATACGAAAAGTCTCACGCTGGATAGCGTAGTGTATCTAGTCCGGTATAACCTTCTTTTCGGAATTTTCTTTCAGAAAACCATCCGCCACATATTCGTTACCATCAGACAAACTGTATCAGATTTACCCTATTCCCATTAAACCAAAAAAGCTAGAAAATGATCGATTTTTAGCTGAAAAATGTGTATCCTTAAATGACCAGTGGTACTATGATACAGTATTCGAAGCTGGGCCAGAAATAGTTCAATAGGACAGTGAAGACGGAGACGTGGAAGTTGAAATGTTTTGAATTAATACTTCGTTATGTTATGTTCATGCTGAAAAGGGGAAAATCAGCCAGGCATGATGGAATTACAGCGGACATGCTACAAAATATAAATGCTGAATGTATGGAAATGTTCTCAACATTACTGAATCAGGCATGGGAAGAAAAGCGGGTACCTGATGACTGGAGGGAGGGAATAGTAAGTCCAATATTTAAGAAAGATGACACCACAGACTGCAACAATTACAGGGGTATTGACCATTCCATGTAAAGAATACTAGACAGAAAGCTGAGAGAGTATATTGAAGACAATCTAGACGAGGCGCAAAGTGGTTTTAGAAAGGGTCACAGTATTCAGGACCACATATTTACTATTAAACAGCTCATTGAGAAAAGCAGGGTGAAGGACACCGAACTATATTTTACGTTTTTAGGCACGTATCGTCAGTCGTCCCTACAATTGTAGGGCTCGTTTATGGCCTCCTTGATTGTCATACTTCTTTCTCTCCTTCAAAAATTTCTAGATTACACTTGTCCCGTGTCAGCGACAGCGCTCTCCTATTGTGAAGATATGTTTTCCTTTTAAATTGTAGGAAATTTCAGGCTGATAAAACATGATATAACTCAAAAGCAAGCACAATTTGATGCAAGTAGATATTTGTGTCATAACCTCAAAATAGAGCACTGACATGGAAAAATAGAAAACTATGACAATCAAGGAGGCCATAAAGGCGCCCTACAATTGTAGGGACGACCGACGATACGGGCCTTAGATCTCGAAAAAGCATTCGATAGCGTGCCAAGGGGCGTTGTTTGGGAAAGCCTGCACAAAAGAAACATAGATAGCCACCTAATAGATTGTATTCAAAGCGTGCAAGAACAAAACAGTTGTTACATCCAAAAGGATAACATGATCTCCACAAAACTCAAAATAAGCGGCGGACTGAAGCAAGGAGGCGTGCTTAGCCCTACACTATTTATCATCGCCATGGACGATGTAATAGCCCTAAAGAGTAAAACAAGAAACGTTCATGTAGGGTTTTATAAAATGAGAACTGTAAGTATAGCAGAGTTTGCCTTTGCGGATGATTTGCTATTATGTGCCAGCAACCCAAAATATTTACAAGATAACCTTAACATCTGGATTGAAGAGCTATTAAAGAGAAATATGAATATTAACATTTCTAAAACAAGGCCTGACACATAAGACAAGGGAAAGAACTTAAAATAATCTCGGAAGGAAGATATATAGATCAAGTACAGGCGTTCAAATACTTGGGAATACAAACACAGGAAGACGGAACAATGGATGAAGAAATAAAAGAAAGATATCGAACCTGTATCACAGCATAAAAACATCGTTTATATTGAAAAAAGAAATAAGCAGAAAGACTAAAATGACGGTATATAAAACCATTTTCAGACCTATCCTGACTTTTGGAAGCGAAAGCTGGGTATTGAACAACCGACAAAGAAGCAAAATACAAGCAATAGATATGAAATACTTGAGAGCAGTAAAAGGAGTGACTAGGAGAGACAAAATTAAGAACAAGATTATACGAAGTGAGTTAGGGGTTACATCTGTCTTGGAAAAAATTGAGGAAAACCAGTTGAAATGGTTTTGGCATCTAATCCGTATGGAAGAAACAAGACCAGTCGAAAGAATATAGGAGGCTAAAATTATGAAGAAAAGAACTAGAGGGAGACCAAAAAAGACGTGTAATGACGGAATTGCATTGACACTGAAAAACAAAGGACTCATCTGGACAGAAGCTGTTCGACATTCCAGGGACAAATATATATATATATATGTTATGTTCAGTAATAAAGGAGTTTTTTGTCTGAAATAATCCAGCTGCTTCCTTTTTGGGTCAAAAAACGGCCAGCTCCATCTTTTCGTATCACATGTGACAGAAAAAATGCCAATACACACTTATTTTTTCATGCAGAACATGCAGAACAGTATCCTCTTCTATACCTGTTCATACACCATTTAATAAACATGACTGACATGACAAGTGAAATGTAGGCAATTAAAAAACAAAGCTTACAATGATATGGCCTCCTATTTTATATTTGAGCGTTATTTAGGATCATCAACATTAATGTTTTTTTTTTAATAATACATATTAGATAGACTATATCTTGAAAACTAGAGCTGATACGAGGGATGTCTTTTACGTTTTGCATATGGAAATAAATCAACACGGTAGGTAGTTTTAAATGACTTTATTGTTTTTCGAAGTATTCTCCACGAAGATTGATATATATCTTTGCTCATTAAGAAGAATTGTTGCAATATGACCCGCTTTTGACACAAATGTCGCGACCATCTTTTTCGAAACACTTCGAGATGACTTTTGATGGCTTTTCTTCACCTTGGAACACCCAAACAGCCGACTATTGTTTATTTTCTGGTTCATAATAGTAAATCCACGATTCATCACCACAACCAATGCTGTACATATTTTTTGAGTTTCCGGAATTGAAACGGTCAAGCGTTTTTTGACACCAATTAACCCTGGCTGCTTTCTGCTCTTCAGTCCACAGGTGGCGTATCCAACGAGACACTAATTTTCTTACTCCTAATTCATCATGTGAAATTTTCTGAATTGAGGTATTTGAGATCTTGAAGGATGCCTCAATCTCGCAAGATGTCACATGTCTATCTTCAATGATGAGTTTGCGCACAGCATCGACGTTTTCCTGGGTGACTGCCGTTTTTGGTGCACCCACCCTGGGATCGTCGCTAAGACTCACCCGTCCACGTTTGAATTCTCCATACCAACGGGAAATTGTCAAGTGATGTGCCGAAAACAGACAGTAACTCAGCAAGGCATTCTTGATGCGATAATTGTCTCTGAAAGTTGTGATAACTTATGGCGCAAAAATGTTCTCGGTTGAGTTCCATTTTTCTAATGACTCGGTGACACTTAAAAATTCACTGTAGTGAGAACACTGCATGTATTATTGTCAAACATTGAATTTAAGTTTACTAAAGAGTGAGGTTACTGACGGTCGATCCGCGCGGCCTACTATGTTTCTATATGCAAAACTTAAAAGACATCCCTCGTACGAGAGAACCCACATCGTCTAACATACTCAAGTTCAGTTCTTACTTCTCCGGCACCAAAATAGCTATTAGGCTGAGTTATTGAGGATATGGAAGATCTACGTTACCCGGCGAATGAATATCACATTCGATGATAAATACTTTCGGATTACAGTAAATATTGATCGTGTGATATAAAGTACACTGCACTGAATGGAGAGTATTAATGCACATAAAGTAGCTTTTACAAACTGCAGCCCGATTAGGGTGCAAGTACGAACAGATCAACTTGAAAACATGGTTCTGCTGCCGTAAAGTTCATGGAAAATTCTGCTACGTGTTTATTTTGACAATTAGGAGCTATTAGTATGTTGCGTTTGTCGTTTAAGAACCTTTCAACCAATGGCAGAAAATTAAAGGATTAACGAGGTTTCTATTCATGAGCTTTTGAATTATTATCCTACTTGAGCGTCTTTTTCGCATACCTGTTGAATTGATTTTGGTCTAAGGAGTTCTGCACAATTCCTCGATGTTCTCCATATCGTCCTGAGTTTGACATGGCTTGGTACATCTTGTGCAGATCGTGGTTGAAACCCTGATCTCCTTCATAGTTTGCAATACCTAGGAGTAGCAGATATTTGAGTTTTTTGTTTCATATAATAAGATGAGACAAGACAATACGCATTTATTTTATAATTAAAAGGTATTCTCAGGCACGCAATATACACAATATAGAACCTTGAACTTTATTAAAAATACAAAGTTCAGGATCTATGAGCCGGGTTTTCGGCCTTGATAATAACTTAAAGTTCAAGTTGATTGCAAGAATGAAATTTGTGTATTTAAATATTTTAAAAGATGTGCATTTTAATCTTTTACCAACATTTTTCATCTTATTGTTGTACTTGATTATTTTTTAAAATGCCAAAGTTCGCAATTTTGGCAATTTTGTCCTAAATCCACCCGTTTTCTACTGCAAATCTATATTAACACTAAGACACAAGACATATATACAGGGTGTAATTAAACTGATGTCAAAAAATACAGGATATGATTCCTTAGCTCATTTTAAGAAGAAAAGTTTATATGAACATATGTCTTAAATCTTAACTTTTGAGCTACAAGGTGAAAAAAAAATTTTTTCGCACAACTTTAATACTGTTTTAGATATATTCATGAAATTTGACATGCACATACTAAACACCGATAGGTATTTTGTGATTTTTAATATTTCTACCAGTGGCGTCCGTACTGGAGATTTTCAAAAAAAGATATGGTACACTACGTGCCCCTTCCCACTTCAGTTGGCCCAACTATTGAAATCTTAGTTTTTTTCTTATCAAACACAAATAATAAAAATGTAGCAGAGTGTTATAGGTTTAAAATATTAACAATGAATATTTTGATAATATATAGTAGAAAACACCAACTTTATCACTCCCCAATCAAATTTGCAGCATAAAAATAAAACATGTTGCAATTACAGCATATCAACCTATTTTCATTTCAATGCAAAATAAGTCTATAACGGATAGGTGGCTGCGAAAAATAAAAGCCATGACAACAGAATCGCTTTTACCACTGATGGAAGAATGTTTGACATCCGGCCAAGATTTTTCTACGACGACATCCTGCTCGTACAATCACCGAACTGAGACAAAAGCTTCAAGAAACATGGGATTGTTTTACACCAAATTTTTGCCAAAACTTGGTTAACACCATGCCTTAAAGAATTTCAGCCGTAATAAAAAATAAAGGTGATGTTACCCAATGGTAGTCTTTCAATCGTTGCTTTGTTAACTTCTTGCATTTATTCGCATATTGTTTATTTGTTCAGATGTTCTATTAGTTATAGGTCTAAGTGATTTCAAATATATATTTTTTACGACTAAAGTGTATCTAAAATGTTTTTGAGAAAATAAATTGTTTTAGAAGTAAATAGTTTCGTCATGTTTAGTTTATAAAGGCATATTTTGGCACAAATCTTGAAGCGGGCCAACTGAAGTGGGAAGGGGCTAGTATTGCTTTTTAAAAAAATATTTTAGAAATTCTCATCTATTTTGCAATGAATTTGACCTCTTGACTTTTTTCCATCCAATGCCCCTTTTTCGCGTAAAAAATAAAAACAGTTGGTTATTTTAATCAATTGATTTTACTTGAATACAAATTAGATAAAAACACATCTACTGCCTGGTAGATGGCGCTTATATCTTTCAGACCGCCGGTTTAAGTCAGATACAGTGATTAGTCGTATGAAAGTTGCTACCCACTCTGAGAGTATGTGGGTGAATCTTAAGAGACTTACCCTTGACTACTGCTCCATTGTATCCCTTCTCGTTCTGGTGCTGTTGATGATTCTGTTGCATACCTGATCCCGCTTTGATCACTAGTGGTATGCCACTTACACTCTGTTCTACTAAAAGTACTAGCACTATATAGTGGAACCATTTTTCTGTCCTTTCCACACACATTTCAAGGTTTTCACGAGTATGTTGTGATTCACTGGTTTGTGCAGTAGCTGAGTTTTTAGCGTTTCAGTTTCAGATAAGCCACTTGTGTCCTACCAAAAATACTTGTTAGCTTTTATACGACAACGAATATTATGAAAAACAGATATCTATTAAAAATCGTTTTCGAAAGGGTGTGCCGATACAAAAAATGTCTGACAAAATGAATCAGAAACAATTGTTTCCAGTTACTATCTAGGAAGTCAAGAATGTGAACAAACAATTATGTTCTCCTTTCGTGGCTTTTGGTTGGAGTAGGGAATGAAGCGTGAACCAGCGAGGACCGTGGAGTGTTCACACGGTCACGATTTAGTTTCTTCCATAAAATCGACCATGAAGGGCATCTGATTTATAGTCGTGCTATTTTGAGTTCAGATGTTAGTGGTATGTTAGCGAAAAGGTTGAAGGTTACGTGCAGAAAAACAAATAAGAGAAAAAGCTTTTTTGTGCGAAGAAGTAGATACTAGCATGAAGAAATTTGGGGGAATACAATCTGGCAAATGCTGAACTATGAGATCAGTACTCTTAAGATATTAGAAAATTTGCTACATATATCTGTAGTTCAGTGTGATTTCCTCCTGGAAATTACGATTAGTGTGTCTACGCCTGAAAATCAAAGCGTGAGATTTCGTGAACTTGCCTCTCTCCCGAAGATATCCGACCAGGACCTCTATTCTTGGAAGGAAGTAGAAATTGTGAGGGAAAGTGGCAAAAAGGGGGTATGGCCATGAAAGGCAGTATTCTTGGAATCAATTCTACCGAAAAGTGATGAAATGAGTTCACTTTAGGGAGTCGCGATTTCTCTTGCTACCAATTAAGAGAAACTGGAAAACTTAGTAGAAAATAGCGCTATATAACCTAAAAATTGACGTGTTCGGCATTGTTATTGTCGTTCCTGCTAAACATATGCAAAAAATGGTTAATTTCAATCAATTGATGTATTGGAATGATATTATTAACGAGGATGTAGAAGAGGCAGTTGAGGAATGGGAGATTAGGAGGAATATTCTTGGGCACAGAGATCCTTTTATAATTGATTAGGTTGACCAAAGATTTGGTGTATGAGTTCCTGGAGATATTGAATCAATTCATACATCCACCCCCACGAGCTTCTGCACTTTCGATCAAAACAAAGGCTAGAGCAGATATTAAGTTTTAGTCATTCTAAAACAGTATCCTTTAATCTATGATTGAATTTTCCCTGGTGTATTTGGGGTTGCCCTCGGAGAAATTCAATCATTTTGTCCTTTTGCTCATTTGTAACGTGTTTTTTTAAGTTTTCGGCTCCATAAGGAGGAAATCTTGACCAAAAGCATTGATTAGTTTTTGACTGTCAAAATTGTCTCCATTTTGATTGGTTTAACACGTTTACTCAAACCTGGCAACCCTGTGCCTTGATTTTCTCCTTTTTATCGAGTTCTTTCAAGAATACAATATTTTCGAATCGATAGAAAACCGGAGCAGTAGAAAAAGAGAGGGAGTGTGATTTTCTATTAAAGTCAAGAATATGGGCACAGGGCGGATTTGGGAATCCGCAGCGGTGGTCGCAACATTCATTCTTAGGAAGATGTTCATCTCAAATCGACGAACGGCAGGGTGAGGGCGTAACACTGCATGCTTAAGCACTTCTCAGCACTTCTGACGCTTCAGAGAGCAAATGTCCTTCTGACGGGGCGCACGTCCCACGATTCAGATTTTGATCTCCCGAGAATCCAGTTGGACCTTAAAATTTGTATATTTGTGTGCATGATTTTGTGTACAATTTTGGAGATTTTTAGTATGTACTCCCTTCTCCTGAGAAAATTTGCTAGCCCCCGCTATCCAAAAAGTTTTAGGGGCAGACACACGTTCATGAAAAGTTATATCTCACCGATGATCGGTCCCATGATAAAAATTCCTGCGGGCGTCCATGATAGATACTTTTCAAAAATGGCAACTCGGAAACAAAGTTCACTCAGAACCCGTCGATTTAGGATTTTCACGATTCATAACAGTACTGTTCTAGAGATTGATCGGTCATTGTCAAGTTTATCAAGGTTAATTTTACGTAAGCCCAATAACGAATAAACGTAGAAAATACAATAACAATAACTTAGGTTAATATAACATCTGGCTAATAAAGATAGAAGTTGATGCCGTTAATAAAAAAACATCTAAAAGTTTTCTGTCCATCAAATGGAGCACATATGTATTTTGATATTTTACTAAAGTTTCGATGGTCTTTATCAAATTACAGATCAGAAGTGATAGTGACGATACACTTTTATATGTATCTTCCAGGTGGCAGTTCGTTTGTCTTTGTCGGTACTTATACAGTGTGTTGTACCAACAGCCTGAACTGCGCGAAGCTATCATTATAATCATTTTAGAATGGCACAGCGTAAACCCAGTAACGTTCTGCCTGGTGTAGGCATTGCCGCTCACTAGGAGGGTTATTACGTAACCAGCTATCTAGTCAACTAGATGACATTTTATCGTTCTTTTTACATTATATAGGTTTTTCACGTAATTAACCTGCGGGTCACCCTTGCTCATCACCGTACTAGCCGCAAAAACAAATGAATTTTGATCTGGTAGACAGAAAAATATAAAATACATTTACACTGTCACATTTTGGATCTGGGCTTTGAAAAAGAACACGTGCGTGTTAATGTTTCAAAGGTATTTTCAAGGGTTTTCTTAACCGCACTACTGACTTCTGTTATTTCACTAATAAAATTTCATCCAAGCTTTATAAATCATAGCCGGTGTTCACTACTACCATAATTATTACTTTGGAGTGGTGAAAGTCAAAAAAATAATTATTTTCAATTTCAACGAGTATTATGCAATGCTTTTCGAAAAGGCCCTCTACTTATTCTTGGAACGGGGCAAACTAGAAAGGTGGTGTTCATCGAGATGAAATTAATAGCGTAAATAATATACTTTGACCTTGACTATGATTTGAACACTCCTAGATGGGGTCTGGATGTCAAATTGGAACATTATTTTAAAATGTGTAGAATGAATGTTATGTCATATCTCATTTTGAAACTGCTCATGCATTCGTCTGTATGAATATTATGAAATATGGACTATACTCTTGAAAACCAGCAAAAATCTGAAATTTCTTTTTAAACGGATAACCCACATTTTATTGCACATTCAGATAAGCCCTTCCAAAAGAAGAAAACTGATTCAACATTACACATAAAATCAGTATGAGCGGCTTCAAAATGAGGTTTCACATGACTTCTTATTCCATTTAAAGAAAATATCTCAAGCTGGCGCTCAGCCACCATCTTGAAACCTTCGTCTGTCACATCTACGTTAAATATGGTATTTATGCATTTATTTCAACCTTAGGGGTAGACATTTCCTGAAAAGCACTGTATAGGTACGTGAGAAATGAAAATGAAATTTATCGGGGTCAAAAATTTTTGAAACTGTTTTTGGTTGTTTTAGTGTCCAGGCTGACGCAGTCACATTCAAACGATTTTTAAAGCTTAAATATTCTAAAATCTCGTTGAGGGAATCCATCATTTAAGATAGTTTAGTAAAATCTATGAATTTGCACATTTTTTCTATTAACTTTGGAGCAAAGAAAAGATGGTTTTTGCTGAGACACTTCGATGTTTAAAGAACTTAATTTTCTAGTTGCTCGAACTCAAAACAGCTAAGGAAACTCAGAATATCTGAGTTCAATATCTTCGTCTCGAATCTGCTGTTATCAAGTGCCAAGTACTTACAGGAACACTTATTCTAAGCTCTCATGTATAATCCAAATGCTTCCATATCACCACTGCACATTACCACAAACCTCAAAATCCAGTTTTATAAAAAATTGCTGTAAATGATGACCCACCACTTTAACACTCCAAGGAGCACCACTTTGGACGTTACGCAATCACAGACTAAATAGCAAATTCTTCATTTTCCGTCTTTTTATATGAAGACGATAGATCATTGTATTGGCGGACCTTGGCGTCTGGGTACTTCATGGTATAATCGATCATCTTGAGGATATACGGAGAGATACAATTTTTTGTAACCTTTCGGTAATTAGATCAGGTGTGGGATCAATTCGATCAAAGTGCCTCACCGGACGATCAGAGTTTATTGGATTTTTAACGGTTTGTCGCTGAGTCAAAGTTTACAGACTACGAAAAGTAAAATCACTTGCGAAAACTCCTAACAGCCACAATTTTGAGGTGGTGCACACTTTCCACAAAGCAGATGTCAACAGCGGACGGTCTTGACAAAGCCATCGCTTCAGCCAAAATGGTCTCGCAACTTTTTATAACCTGGTAAGCGACGGGTTGCGGATGGAAGGCGACAGGCTACAGGTGATCCATTTATATTTTTCACGGTGTCGGGTGTTGGCTGTGGATTGCAGACCAACCAAAGAGCAAATCGGAATATCATCACTGCGAATATAGACGTGCAGGGTCAGGTAGGATAAAAGCTTATTTTTATTCTAAAACGTATGCGTATTATTGTTATTATTTATAGTTTAAGTTTGTTTCAATTCATATGTATATTAGAATCTAAAAATGTTAATTAAGAGGACTGAAAACAGTTTTTGTGATACAAGCAGCTTTAAAAAGAGTGTATTCCCTTTAATTCCCAGTAATCCTTAACAGGAATTTCGGTCAATTTGCGGGAATTTCGAGTAAATTAGGGAAATTATGGTGCATTAAAGGGAATTATCTTAAATAACGAGAATTATTGGACATTGATGGAAATTACGGGAAAATATTTCACGTTATTGTACAGATTTCTGGATGCGGTTTACCACTCAGTCTGTGGCAATAAACATAATAATTGTCTAATATTAAGTATTTGAGTTTCAGCATACATTCCGTTGGATATGTGATTGGTTTATAGTGTATCGTTTTTAAAATTATTTCTTGTGCTTGAAATGTGATACCATAATTCATATGACTTTCAGCTAATGCATAATAAAGATTTTCAGTTGGTCTTCTGTCAGAAACTACTTATAATTTTCGATTTTATGAAGAAGAAATCTCAATCTTTTGACAATGTATGGTATATTTGTATCGTAACGGAGATGTGGGTCTATAGACACCTAGATTTTTGTGTCTTTTCTTGAAATTACTCGGCAGTATTTTTATTAATACAATTTAATGTTTGGTAGTCAGGCAAACTCTTGTCATAGGATGAAAATGGCATAAAGTACGTTTTTCTATAATTTTTCGTTAGAAGACGAGATTTAAACCAATTTAGTAGTAACGGGTGATTTTTTAAGAGGTATAGGATTTGATTTTCAAAAAAAAAACACAAAAAAATTGAAAAAACAATTAAATCTTTATTTGAGTCGATAGAACGGTCGATATAATTTAATGTTTAAAGGTTATTTCATGTAAGTGTTGGTCGCGGCTCCGCTTTAGATGGCCCATGCGCAAGGTCCAATTTTGGCACACTCTCTCCAACATATCGGCCGGTATCTCACGAATTAATGCTTCAATATTGGCTTCCAGTGCGTCAATCGTTGCTGGTTTATCCCTGTAGACATTAGCCTTAACATGGCCCCACAAGAAATAGTCCAACGGCGTTAAATCACACGATCTAGGCGGCCAATTGACGGGCCCCAAACGTTAGATAAACTGTTCGCCGAACTCGCCGCTCAATAGGGCCATTGTTTCGTGTGCGGTGTGGCATGTGGCACCGTCTTGTTGAAACCACATGTCAGCCAAGTCCAGCTCTTCCATTTTGGGCAAAAAAAGGTTGTTATCATCGCACGGTAGCGCTCGCCATCCACAGTTACGTTCCGGCCATTGTCGTCTTTGAAGAAGTACGGCCCGATGATGCCACCGTCCCATAATCCACACCAAACAGTGATTTTTTCGGGATGCATTGGTAGCTCTTGCAATGCTTCTGGCTGGTCTTCACTCCAGATGCGGCAATTTTGCTTGTTAACGTACCCATTCAACCAGAAATGAGCTTCGTCGCTGAACACAATTTTTCGATAAAAATGTGGATCTTCCTCCAACTTTGCCAGCGCCCATTCACCAAATTGGAAACTGTGGGAGGTCGTGTGGCTTCAATTCTTGCACCAGCTGTATCTTATAAGGTTTTACACCCAAATTCTGTCGCAAAATTTTCCACGTAGTGGAGTAACAGAGGCCCAATTGCTGCGAACGGCGGCGAATCGACATTTCACGGTCATCACTAACACTGGCGGATACAGCCGCAATATTTTCTTCAGTCCTCACTCTACGTCTGCGTGTTGGTGGTTTGATGTCCAATAATGTAAACTGGGTTCGACATTTAGACACAAGCTTCCGAATAGGCCGACCAAATTGCCCATAAATTAGAAGCAGTGCTCGATGCACTCTCTTAACCGAGCATGAATTTTGATAGTAAAATTCAATAATTTGCAAGCGTTGTTCATTCGTAAGTCGATTCATGGTTAAATTATAGACCAAACTGAATAAGTTTGACAATGACACAAGACACGATTCACGCGTCATCTGTCAAAAACAGTGTTGCCAAAAAGATACTAGCAAAAAAATCACCCTATATTACTAATAATGAAAATAGTTTCTATAATCATTATAACATGGAAATTTAATAAGTTGATGAGGTGAGAATTGATGTTGAATGAGAATGTCCTGTTAGATATTACTTCCATGTCACTGACTCTTCAAGCATCTAAAAGGGGATAATTTAATTTGTAAGTATTTGTGATGGCATTTACTTTCCTAGTAGAAGAACTACATTTACTCACGTTGATATGAAGTTTATTAGCATCACTACACTCAGTTAGTCTGTCAAGATTCCTTTGTAGATAAGAGCAACTAGATATACCGTCAATTTTCCAGTTAACTTGTTTGTATTTAATATAATATAAAGTTTCCAATTCTAATATTACAAAACATCTACGTCAATAATATCAAACTGTCTCCCACATACTAAATAAACAAACTTTTCGGTTGAAAAGCTTAATTGCTTGTCGTAATAACTGATTTCCAATTTGCTGACGCAGGTCATAAGCACGAGCAACCCCATTTCAGGAATATTAGCGATGAGGTAATCATGTGATCTAACATTAATGTCATGGTGATATTATAAGGGCATTGCGAAAAGGTCATCCTTTCGGGTAAACTTTCTGATTAAATTATAAGGGCAATAGAGGTAAAGGTTACTTCATTCATATCGGTTGACATGCCGAATTAAGTTCCTGACAGTTCAGAGTGGTGCTGAGAATAATTTGAGGAGGAGGAATGGATATTTCATAAATTCAGCTAGGCACATATCAAAATAAGTCAGCCCAAAGTGCGATCTATTAGTTTATCAATCTTACATGTACATATGTTACGCCTAAAACCGTGCGCGACGTCGTTTCATCCGTATTAGGAATCATCGGCGCTGTATGAGGGAGATTGATAGAAGCTGACAGGTCTCAAGTACCACCTGCTGCCAGATTTGGATCGGACGGGTCACCTGCGGCCATATTATCCACTGAGGAAAAGATAAATCTTCAGATTGGATTAGTACCAGCCTCATACAGAGCCTTACCTGACCCGTAGTTTAAACACAGTTGTAAACATAGTTATTTTCATTCAACATGACCTGTTTGTATGTCAGTATGTACTATGTGTGGGACAAATATTGGAACTGAATTTTTAACCGATTAACCTTAATATAAGGAGCTGAAATTGTTTACACATATTTGTTTTGCGTGATAATGAAAAATTTATTAACTGTCGCAATTTCAAATGCAATGTGGTGGGTGTTACAGAATTATGATTCATCATTTCGCTTTCTTGTGACCTGGGTATCTAATGAAAGGACTTATGAGAGAAATACAATTAGCTAAGTGACGTCATTCAAAATCACAATGTCACAAAATGGCGATGTATGCATTTTATAGCCAGCCCCACAACATGGATATGAATTGAAAGGGATTTATGAGCGGAACACATTAAACATACTGACGCCATTGAAAATTCAATATAGCGACGGCCCTAAGATGGCGTTTATTATTATCATAGTCACTCCTATGATATAGGTATCCAGTTAAAGAGCTTTATCAGATAAACATAAGAAGCAATGTGATGTCATTCTGAATCGAATATGACTGCCACCGCAAAATGGCGATTCATAATTTCCACCATCATCTCTATACTGTAAGTATCAGACGAAAGGTTTTGGAGAGAGAAACACAGTGAGCAGAGTGACGTCATTCTAGCTTAGAATATGGCGTGAATGGTGATTTATAATGTCCATAGTTACCGATATGATATGAACATTCAGTTAAAGAGCTTAATGAGGAAAACACGATGAGCAAATAACGTCACTAAATTCCTGATAGCATTCGCCGCAAAATATTGTTTTATCGTTACATGATTTGCATCTACCGAAATTGTATAATCCAATTAAAGTAAGAAGATTTATGAAGTCGTATTAATAAAATATATGAAACTTGTGATTTGATTTCATAAATACCAAAAATTAAAAATAGGTAAAACAAAAAATAGCGTTTTGGAAAACAAGCTTTTATTTAGCGGTTCATAAAATGAACGGACGTTAGGCCGTCATCAAATTGAGTAATATGGCTTAGCTTTCGTAGCACTTTTCCTATACACCAAAGAAATCATTTAAATTTGAAGACTATTGCCTCTTACTCATTTTCTGACTTTGTTTGGAATGAAGAAGATTGAAGATGGCAGTTATAGGATGAGTTCACTAAATCAGTACCTGCAGCATTTTGTCTATTTTGCGCTAAAACTATTTAGGATATTTGATTCCTTAAAAGGTATCTTGGATTATCCGAAAGTTCTTCCTAACTATTGACAGTTTATCTGCCCAATCATTTTTTCTACTGGTTGTTGTATTTTTAACGCCAGAAAAATTCACGCTTAAGTCGACTGCTATACCTACA